AAACTCGGGGAAAAAAATTATGACTTGAGTTCCCTTGACTACAGCCTTTCTAAGATACATGAGGTTTCTGTATTGCCTGTTTCAATGCTCAGCTTTTATTCACTTTTCTGCTCCACCTATCTATGGATGAGAAATGCACCTTAACTTCTGGTGCCATTTCTCACTGAAGAAGCAAACCAAAGGCAGAAGAGTTGCTGTGACTTTTATCTAATTCTTTTTATTTTGTTTCCACTACCTCTCTGTTTCTTCTTCAACTGTGATGATTGTCTTTTACTTAATATGAGATTTTCTGTTCAGTGAGCTCCAAAGTCCCGTCAACAGGCTGAAAGTTGGTGGCATCTTCTCATAATTTCTGTAATTGGCCAGTAAGAACTGTCCAGCTCACAAAAACTACTCCTTTTTACAGTAGGGTGTAGAGAGAACAGTGTTTTGCTAATGTGAGCTTTAAACTGATATTTGCACAATTTATTTGTATTTACTTTGTCTTATTTTATTTTCTCAATCAGGAGTTAGGGGAATTGTGTAGCAATTGGCATCTAACTGAGATGAATCCAGCAGCTGGAAAACGCTCTGTTCAGAGTGAAATGGATAGTGTGTGTTCACAATTGCTTAAGTAATGCATGCATTAATGCAGGACTGTGTGTCATACTTATTTTTTTATATAAAACATGCACTACGATAGGAAAAGTCAACATATCAGTGTTAATGGGGAATCTTTCCAAGACCTTACTTTCAAGTGCATAAAAGAGTACAAATTTGGGATAGCCGAAGGTGACTGCAAACAAATTGGCTGGTCCATTAGCATAGCTGTCCAGCTGTATCCTAGGCTCTGAGGCCACTCCAAAACCACAAGCCCAACCGCCTCAGAAGTCTGCCAAGGAGCCAGCTGCTGCTAATAAAGCAGACTCTACAACTTGGCATCTGGGGCCTATGATTCCCATCCAAAAGGAATTGTATGTGAAAAAATATTTGAAATTTGTCTTTTTAAGTAGTGTTTTGCTTTGGAAGAAAAATGCTTTAGTCCAAGCTTGCAACAAGTGAAAAACTACATAAGAATACTTGGTTGCCATGGGAAGATAAATACTGTTCTTGTGTAAGGAGATTGAATGTTAGAAGGAGGAGCATTGTATGTTTAGTATCCAAGAGGCTTTGGGTGTAGCATTTCGGGGTTATTTAGTTAGAAAGGCCAAGGTATCTCATCATTCATGCTTAGCTGTATGCACTCCATGGGACACTTTGTTTCAGAGAGCTGAACTGTATGTAGGGTTTAAGCACCAGGTTGTGTTCATGAGGCTGGATAAGAATTAAGCACATTAATTTCTCCCTTTTAAATAATGAAAAAGGGGAAATTTCATTCATTTTTCAAAGATGAAAACAAATCCTATTAGCCATCCGTACTAAATTAATAAGCTCCTTGGAATGATCTACAAACCAGTTCATTCCCCACACATTCCCCACTGAATAATGAAGCATGAGAATTGAAAAATGAGTTGGTTGCATTGGTTATTTCAAAAATTAATGGCAAAACCAGCACTTAATTCTAGCTCCTTTTGAAGTGAAACATGTAGATTTTGCCTATTTTTTTTTCTCTAGAGCTAAAGGTCCTCTGCTTGGTTGTGTTGGCAAAAGCTCTTTCTCAGATTTCTACAGCTGGTGTCAGTGTTTTGAGCCAGTCTTGACAGTGGTGCTCCTCATGGCTCTTGTGGCAGAGAAGTTAAGTGCTTTGCCCTCAGCCACAGAGGGGTCCAACATCAGAACAAGGCACAAATTTCCTGGCTTTGGGTGCACAGGTGGCTCCCCAGGCAATGCTTCTCTTTGGCATCATCCAGGATCCTGTAGCAAGTGGTCCATATCTGGCATCATCAGGTTGCCATTCATTTCTTTCACTCCAGTTATTACGTGGAGATTAATAAATGAGGCCCTTTGCTCATTTGAAGGCAAAACACATACTTCTGCCATCAGTCATACACTCATTGGCTCAGGAAACAAGAATTCAAAGCTTTCTTCTGACCTGAAGCTTTTAGTCTGGCAACTGGCCAGGAGATATCATCACCCTCAGTACAGGCAATTTTCTGATCTTTCTGCGGATGGTATTCTTGGGTATTGGATATGCATGGAAATTACTGTGGGCTACTGTGGCTGAGATTTATTAGTGAAGAGGGTTTGGCGTATAGCAGTGCTTGCTGGGCTGAGAAGATCAGCATCCTCTGGAGTGGAGTGCGGCGGCCTCTCTGCCCACCCTTAAAGCATCTCCCAGAATACTGCTGTGAACTCAGGCATTCATGAGTGCCTATTCTCTGAGCAGCTTTTACTTGAGAGACAACCTGTCGTATGGCCTAATTCTCTGCATATACCAAGAATTGTTAATTTTTTTTAATAGCTGTGGCCATAAAATTGGTGTAAATGTAATTCGTGTTCACTTCTACATCTGCTTTCAGCTGGCTGAGAGGGATAAACTGTCTTACGCTTAAATTAGAATTAGGCCCCCAGTGCTTTCCTCTGTGTGAGGATAGAGATCTTAGAATAGAATAGAAATTGTTCTTTGTATTTCCAAGATATATTTCCACTTGGTTTTTTTCTTGCTTATTAGGTTGGTGTGAGAATAGGACATTTCCTCATTATCCTTGCTAAGACATATATAATAAGAACAATTAATAATTAAAGTGCATAGCACTTCATTGGTTTATGGAAAATTCTTTCCTTGCTTTACATCATTTACATGAATTCAGTGTGGATGGTAAACTTGGAGGTGTGGGATAAAGAAATTAAAGATGTTACCTTGACCTTTGTTTGTTTATTTATTTTCTTTTATCCCAGCAACACTCAAAAGGTTCAAGATTGCTATAGATATTTCCTGAGCTCTTGGTATACTAAAGCCAAACGTGTTATACACAGTCAATCTACCTCTTCCATGGCCCTGCAGTGCCCAGGGATTTAAACACGCTTTCAGCTAGGGTGTTTTAAGATGTAGGTGCCTATGTATTTAGTGGAGGTTGCTGTTGCCTGCAGTGTTACCCAGCTGGGGCATGGAGCTGATTTTCAGGGTGTGCCCTGGGCACTGAGGCTCAGTTGAGGCAATTCCCTGCGCTAGTACTTGGGACTGCTGCTTCAGCCCTCTATTTCTGGGAATGACATTGAAGCCTGGATGGGTGGGGATTACCCAGTGATAAACTGTGTGTGCAGGGAAATGTGATCCGTATGCATTAAGTGCTTTTGATTGTCAGCAAAAGTATCTATGCAAAGACTTGAGGGAAGGAAGCTCATTGCCCTTTCTCGGTTACTGCAGATGAGAGTGAATGTCATTACTTGCTAGCATGGCGATCACACTATTAAACTGTTTTTTCCTTTTAATGGCTCCTACTTGAGTCACATTACAACCAGGCTAGATTGCAGAGGAATTCTGATGTCTTGACACTTGCTGCTGTGTTCCCGCTCTCCTGGTTTAAATGGAAGAAACTGGGAAGAAGAAAGGATAAGGCAGCAGGAAAGGCAACGCTACAAGTGTGGTGTTTCATTTATCAAAACCTCTGAGCTTCACCTGTCACTGATGCTCCCCTTATGCTCTCCAACGTTTCTTCTAAATAAAGGGACCTGTTTGAAGGAACTTAGAGATACTAATTAAAAAATATCTATTTACCAAGACTGTGGTTTAATGTGTGCATAATTATAAGCACTAAGGTATGGCCACTGAAATTAAAGGAGCAGTTGATTAAGGTGATCAGAATTACTCACAGACTTAAATATTTTCTCTGTTCAAGGCCTAAATGCAGAATGAGCATATTAGAAGCCACTAAAGTGTCATTGCTACTATAATGAAAATTGCAGATGTTTTACTTTTATTAGTTCATTAGCATAGCATGGTTAACTTAGCATTGGCCCAACATTTACCTGCTGTTGTTACCACACATAAAGCTAGCATAATACTCTGATCAGCTTGTGGAAATGGGATTTCCCCCCTCTCAGCAGGCAGTTACATTCCTGGAGCTCTGACTCATGTTCCCCTGGCTGCTCATCTGGAGCTCAGCCCTCAGCATCCTCCAGTTCCTACAAGGTCTCCTCTAGATCTCAGCTTTTCTGCATAGGTCACAGTGATGGTAGGGTGGCTTCCTCCTTCCAACCACTTCTCCACTCTCCTGGCAAGTGCTCTTTGTGGTGAATAAATACTCTGGTGGTCAGAGTCAGCAACTAAAATTCCCTGTTGCCTCAGATCAGAGGTGTTTAGGTAATTTTTGTAGTATGTGTGCGTCTATCTCCATAGCGTGTATTTATCAGGAAATTAGCAAGGAGTTGTGTTTTCCCTCAGAGTGCCTCCCTTTTCAACCAGTGTTTCTCAGTTGTGTGTGGTTTGTGGTTGTTCAGAAGTGGGTAAGGTTTTGAGAGGTCTTAGCCTGATCATCTTTTCCAAACATTTTCTCTATTGCAAAAGAGATCCGTAACAACAGTGTCTTTTCAGGCTGCTTCGCAATTTTTTCCCCTCTTACGCTAGCCAACTTTCTGCCACCTGACTCTGCATGTACTGGGTGCTCCTCATGTTTAGAAAAGACTAACTAGGCTTCTGGCATCAGCTTCTGTACCTTTGGCTAGATATTCTTATTTGTGTCTTAGAGTACTCTTAAAGCAGATTGTGTTTAGCTTCTTTCTTCAGTACTAGTTACTCCCTGAGTATCTGTCATTTCAGAGCTTTATTTTGTGATCTCGATAAAATGGCTCATAATCTAGCTACTTGAATTCCAGAGTAAAATAAAATAAAGTAAAATAATGCACTTCATAGCCCTGGCTAAACCCAAAACGTCAGTCCTGTTTTGAAAGGTATTGCTGGGTGGGACAGGGTGCAGAGGGAGTGGGCAGCTGGAGATGGTCAGGGAGGGCAGGACAAGCATAGCATAGTTCTGGAGTTACTTGGGTAAAGCACATGCGTCTGCCATGCTTGTTCCTTTTTCAGTAACAACCTTTTTGTTTTGCTCTATTTCCAGCAGTCCTATGCACCAGCTCCCCACCCCATGGCTCCTCCCAGCCCCAGCACAAACAGCAGCAACAACAGCAGCAACAACAGCAGCGGAGAGCAGTTGAGTAAAACCAACCTGTACATTCGAGGCCTTCCACCCGGCACCACTGACCAGGACCTTATCAAGCTGTGCCAGCCGTAAGTGCACTTAAAATACTCAAGTTTCTCTGGGTAGGAAGATGTCAAAGCTGGCCTTCCAGTTTACACTTGTGTCTGGCTATAAAAAAGACACCAGAAACCTCCTGCAGTTGAAGGTTAACTATTATTTGTTTAGTGTGAATAGCTAATTAACGCCTGTTGAAAACCTTTGGGTAATGAGTTTAGGGGAATAGAGAGGTGAGAGCCTTCACATTGACTTCTGTTTATTCTAATCTGGTTGATTTCTTACTTTAAAAAGGAGAATTTGCATGGCAGGAAAACCTCCCTAATGACAGATTTTATAGTTACAATGATCTGTGAATCACAACCTGGTGCATAATAAAACATAGGTGTTCCTCCCTCAATCATCTGTCATGTTTTATGATTGCTGTGTCACACATAGCTGGGCTCATAGATTGAGAAGTATGAAACCCACTGAAGGTGGCCTTGTAGCCATATAATTAACATCTAATTAACTGCACTTCCACTGAAAAATGATGTAGAAAGTAGCACCTTGTACCTCCCTGTTTATCTTGAGAGTCATATTTACAGATTGCACTGATAAATATTGGTTTTATCACATTTTATTCCTGTTGAAACCAGAGGCAGCAAATAGGAGCTCTTTGCTCCTCATGCGTCATCAAAAGAACTACTTCCTAAAATGGTGCACCCTTCTACCCTTCTGCACTGGACTGAATGTAGTCAGCAGTATGAGTCAAAATGAGAACCTGATTGGATTTCCAAAGTCTGGATTATCATTGATGACATGTGAGGGGGGAATAATCCAGTTAGAGATTCCAGCCAGAGATCACCTGGGCGGAATTTAGGACAATGCAATTTTTGTGTTGAAATAAGAACATGGAGAGATTTTAAAAATGAAATCCACCCCTATTATGATGCAGAACTGCAATGCTTTTGCCGTAGAATAATCTATTCCAAAAGACAATAGCATCTCTGGTATTGGTCATCACAAATCAGCCTTCTGAATAATGATCAATAAATGAAGTTGGGTAAAGTCAGTAACAGTCTGGAACTGTTTAATCAAAAATCTGGACAGACTTTCCTGAGTATACTTTGTGGACATGACTGGCCAGGAGTGGAATTTAACAGTCTTACTGAAGTGATGTCTGGTCTTGAGTAAAATTGCGTGAGTTTGAAACTCTTCCTTGAGATTTTCTTCTGTTAAACCTACTGCAGGTAGAACTGGCTCACTGCTCACAGAACTGTAATCTGCTGGTGATGTTTCATATTTCATGCAAGCTGAATTGTGAGTGTACCTGTCTGACATTTGTACAAACCACATTCATTGACACTTTCCCCATATGACAGTCACAGATAGTCCCAGTTCAAGGGCCAGATCCTCAGTAGGTATAAATTGACTGTACTCTGCTGACGTTCAAAAAGCTATTTTGCTATACATCTTCTTGCAGTCTGACCCTTCCTAGGTTCACACAAATGCTTTCAGCTGATCAGGACTGAACTAACTATTCCTGGTGGAGCCTCACAGCTTTGGTGCTTAGTGCTGCAGTCATGGTGTGAGGCTGTGGTATGAGCAGCAATACTTGAATCATGAAGTTCAGAAAGCATGTCCCTACCCTTTGTCTGTATATGGGAAGTACACATCAAGTATATGAAAGCTTCCTTTTGGCACTGTGGCAAAATTTTTAATGTGCTCCACTAAACTTTATCTGGTCTATGATTAGAGGGCTTTGTCTTGCTATCATGGGGTTCTTGTGTGAACAGATGTTCTTTAAGAAAAATGATGACATTCATTTTGATTATTTTTCTGTCTTTCAGCTGAATGGCAATGAGGAGAAACCACATAGTTGTTTTTTTTACCATTGCAGATGATTACACAGTAGAGGTGGATAAAGGTCCAAACCCCTTATCTCTTCCCCTGCCCCCCACAAAAGAAACCAAGCCAAACCAACAAATAAAACCCAAACCCCACTAAAACCTAAACCCACAATCTGCTGTCTGTTCAGGTTATCATCTGTCGTGCTCTTTCCTAGTTTACATGGCTGGGGGCTCACCATACGTTAAAGACTTACGTGAACAGATATTCACAAATGAGCAGAAGGTGCTGCCTCTTAGGCTTCCTGCATAGAAGTATTAGCATAATTTGCCACAAGGTGTGAAGTGAAAAGCTTAATTCCAATCCGTAAACCATACTACTGTTTTGCAGTGCAAGATTATTGCAGAGCTACATCTAAGGGACGTATTCACCAAAGATAGTTTATGCCTAGCACACTGGTTCCCCTGAGCTAGCTGCCAGTACCTAAAATGAGCCCTTCTGAACCCATTTCCTCTGTTCTAGCATGGGACAAGGCTGCCAGCAGTACAACTGTCACTTGTAATGTCTGATATTTGACAGGTCTGAGGAATAATGTACTAAACCCACAATATTTCTCTTTCAAAAATACAGGAAATACTGGAAATGCTTTTTGGTTATGTACATTTATAATAGACCATCCCATTTCCAGGTTTATTCCAGTAAGGAGGCCACTCTTTAAGGTCATGTGTAAAATTTTTCGTTTAATTGCATTTTTCCACATGGATTATTCTTTAAGGTCATGTGTAAAATTTTTCATTTAATTGCATTTTTCCACGTGGATTCTGGAAGAGAAACCCTTTAATCAGAATTGCTTGATAAAGTACAGGGCTCCTTTGGTGAATCCTGCCTGCTTTGCTGTGGTTTTGTTGTGTGTTTCTGGGTGGTGTGCATTGCACACTAAATAGAAAACAGCAGACTGGAGTACCATTGATGCTTGAAGTGCAGAGTCCATTACACGTGGTGTCAGACGTTTCTGACAAATGTTCCGACACTATCAAACCTTTTATCAATTTGAGAGTAACCTTGTCACAGTAATCTGTCAAACTGTTCATATAACTAAAGGAAAACAAGTCATCATAGGCTGTACAGTAGCTGAGTAAATGAAAAAAAAAAATTGTTGCTGGAAGATTTTGTGTGGTTCTGGTCCTCAGTATTTGGTTTAACGTGTGTCCAGCAAAGTTTCATCAAATTCTCTTTTGCAGCAGAGAGCTGTTAGGCTGCGCTGTATCTTTTGAGACTCTATACAACAACTCTGTCAAAGGTTACATTGAAAAAGAGTGAATAAGAGTGTTTAGCGTGCAAGAATCTGTCATTCTTTTATGTGTGGATCCTATTTTGGACTTTCATAAACACTGAGTAAAAGAACTTCCAAAACTGGACCTTGGCCTCTCTTAAACTTTTTCGAGGTATTTAAAAATGAGGCTTTATACTCCTTTGTGATCACACTGATCATCAGAACTTATTAGTCTAAAATTTAAACATTTAATGAAAATAATAGCAAATATCACATAATTGGCATTTATTTCTCTGGGGTATATAGTCTCTGCTGGTGTGGTGGTATACACCATTGTATGTGTATTTTCCCATTCATCAAAAGGGAATATAATCAGCCTTAAAATGTAATATTATCGAGAGAAAAATTTGCATGGTGTGTCAGTGTACAAGCAAAATATAAATTATTATCTTTGAAATATTCATAATCTGTCACTAATTTTCATGCATTGTGTTATATTTCATCCAGAAGAATTCCAAGATTCTCTTAAAAACATACACAGATGGCATAGTCCCTTGTTCGTATACTGGACACATCCCATTCTTCCTAACTACATCCCAGTGGAGATAGGTTGAAGGAAATCTCATACACAGTCTAAACGTTGGAGCTTTATTACTTTGAAACATTTAATTTGAAAAAATCAGTCTGTTTCTTAAGATTTTGGTCTTGTATGTTCTTATAGTTTTGCACTGAAGAAGATTTAAGTCTAAATTTTTTTAAAAGATACAATGAGTTTCGGAGAAGGGAAATTTGGGAAAAGAGATATAAAATATCTGTTCCATCCTCCCCAGTAATTTTTAAAAGAAAAGTTGGCTTAAAAACATTTGACTAAAAAATAAGCCTTCTGCATTGCACAATTAAGACATTGACATGTATTCAAAAGATAATCCCTGTCCATCTTGATTCAGTCATATTGACTTTGTGATCCAGGGTAAAATTAAAGGACTTAATTAAAACACCAACAGCAATAAAATAGAAATGTAAAGAGCAGCAATTCTGTGTGCTGCTCAGGCTGACTCTTGAGTAAGATGAGACTCGAGTCCCCCAGATAAATGATTTTCCAGGTATGGGAAATTCCTACTGAATAGTGATTGCCAAGAGTGTTGCTTTCCTTCAATAACTTCTAGATACAGATTTTTGTGCAGATAACTCAAGGTTTTGGGTCTGATTTGGATTAGTGGGAATGGTTGTTTTACTGGTTTTGGTTTTGTTTTCGTCTTCCTTTTTTTTCTGAAGGTATACTGTTTGACTCCTTGACAAGTCATCAAGGGGGAGATTTTAGCCTCTCATTTAATCCTGAATGTCCTTGGTTTTGTCTCATGGAACATCTGAATAAATGTTCAGGTTTCTACTGTTTAGATTCTACTAATGGGCTAGTCCCAAGGATAATGTAACTGAGGTTATGAATTGAGAAATCACACATTAATTTGCTTAAATCCTAGACTATTTTTGAAATGAACTGTGTTCATTCTTTTTGCCCCTACAGAAAAAGGTTGAGTTCATCAAGGTTTCAGAGGGGTTCAAGATGCCTTTCAGGACAGGTTCTCTTGTTAATAGCTGCAACAAGTAAAACGTTTCCATTAGACCAAGCCTTATAGCAAGTTCATGATGGTCATTCCTTGCCAAGTGTTAAGGCAGAAAGAGTTGTGCATTCCTGACTATTTTTGTTTTCTTTTATTTTCTGAAAACAGCAAGTCCATATTATATGAAAAGTGATGAAAAGTGATGAAATGAAGGTGTGGGGAACATAAGCTCAGTCCATATTATATGAAAAGTGATGAAATGAAGCTGTGGGGAACGTAAGCTCCACTTCTTTCCTTTTATTTTTTTTTTTGCATGAAACTGTTAACTAAAAATAAGTACTGTTAACTATAAATAAAATAAAGGTGAGCC